TGGGAACTCCTCCCAACTACTTGTTCTTCTCCTTTCTTCTGAGTTTCTCACTCTAGACTCCAAATTTCTTTCTTCTCTCAGCTCCGCTGTTGCTGTTGAGAATCTTACTTTAGGCCTGGTCCCACTGTACTCTTCTTGATCACTAGTCTCACTTCCCGAGAAATCTGCATACTCGGAAGGACGCCCCGAAGCTAGTCCAGAATCAGGCTCATCTACTGGATTACTCACTGCATGAGTCGACTTAGGGGTCGAATGGCCAATCCTACCAGTTTCTCTCATAAATGAGTTCTCAATTCTTATCTGCTAAATTTGTCCTTCAAGGGCAGTGATTTCGTTTTGTATTTCTTCTAAACTCTTATCCATTTTTAGAGAACAAAACCCGAGTCTCGAGGATCCCGCCGCTGCCACCAAAAATTATGTAACGTGTTCTCTTCTTAATTTGGATCCCTCAGTTACTAAACTGAGACCGAGACTCAAAAATATAATACATAAAAATAATCTCCTGCCAAAATATACAAATACGGCGAACGTATATACAAAAATAATCGCCTGCAAAATATACAAATAAGGCGATACGAGTTTCTCTCGTATAAAATTAAATGATTATTCTTAATTACCTAACAAAACAAATCACTGTTAAAAATCACTATAAAATATACTAACTAAGATATTATACAAACTATATACAAATTTATAATACTCAAAAACACTACTCAACTAATGAGTAAAACCTTCCGCTCAACGAGTGCTCAACAAATGAGTACTCAGCTACTCAACACCTAATACTAAAGAAACTTATTCTTTTTATATGTATGTCCACTGAGGACTAGTCGAGCTATTCCCGCGAGAGTAAGGATGCTTGATCCACGTTCTCTTATGGGAAACTGTCGGCTTACCTATAAACTCCTTACCTAATACAACCTTTCGTCTCTGAAGCCAAATTAACACTGAAGGTGCTGACGCTAGCGTTGTGACGTTTATATACCTTTAGAGCGGTAGTCACATGACCTGTCAACTAATGGCGCCAAATTCAAATTTAGCAAACACTATTTACATTACAGAATCAACTGAGATATCTATAAACTCCGTATGCAGGCGATGAAGGTATATTGCTACACAAGTAAGGGAAGCTGTAGTTGCAGATCTGTAGCTCTCTGGTTGAAAAAATTCGGATAGATAAACCAGAGATCTCTTGTTTGTCTATCCGAATTTTTTTCACCAGAGAGCTACAGATCTGCAGCTAACAACATACAAACAACTATTTTGGATAAATTATTCTTATTTGCAAAGAAATAATTTGCTTATTTCAATGCAAAAAGAGATTTTATTAGCAATTAAACATATCGTGATACATATCGTATCATGGCTTAAATATCGTGATACATATCGATATAGAAAAAGTTGTATCGTCACAGCCCTAATTACCAGCTTTAATGGAGAATACGTCGTCGATATATCAAAATGTCGAGTTGAAGGCCACAGCAAGTGTTTTCTTTTTTCACGCATGTTTCACAAATTCTGCTTTAGATGAATACAAAATTAGGTCTGCTTATAACGGGGTGCAATTGGTACCCATGGAAATTCCAGTAGATTGTTGGGAGACCAGGTCTCCAAAAATAACATAGATATTATCAATCAGAAACTCATAAATCGTTTTGATGTCAACTTCAAAGTACTTGTGTGTACAATCAGAATTTTTTTAACAAAATATTTAAATGGCCAATGATTGATTGATTGATTGTATACTGTTTAACGTCCCTCTCCATAATATTTCACTGATATGGAGACGTCACCATTGCCGGTGAAGGGCTGCAAATTTAGACCTATGCTCGACACTTAAGGCCTTTGAGCAGGGAGGGATCTTTATCGTGCCACGCCTGCTGTGACACGGGGCCTCAGTTTATACGATCTCATCCAAAGGACCGCCCTATTTAGTCGCCTTTTACAACAAGCAAGGGGTACTGAGGACCTATTCTAACCCGGATCCCCACGGGACTTAAATGGCCAATGAAAATTAAAGTTAGTAAATTTACGAGTTCCATTTTTATTGAAAAAGCATCAAAAATAAACGTTTGAAATCGAAAAAAAAAAAAAAACACCGCAGAGTCTGATTCGATTCACGTGTTTGCTCTGTGCCTTTTGTTTAACTTGACTTTGATCTTGAATACTGAATGCAATCAAACAAAATAATGAGATGCTACGAAATTTATTTTACGTTTAGCCCAGTTAAAATGATATCAAGTTCTACTAAACACAAAATTCACCTTTATTTGATGTTTAGTCCAGTTATAAAAATAATAAAAAACATGAGTGGGTTTTTACGAATGTTTGTAAAAGTTGAACTGGAAACTAGTATTATGAAGAGAGAATACAACACGAGGGATAAGCGAGAAAGACAAACTGTCCCTGAATCAGTCGGTCGTGAAGATGGCCATCGAGTCAGCGGGAACTGTGGGGAGGAGTGATGAGGGGATAGAGAAGCACGGGGGTAAGGAGGACGGGGAGGGGCGGGGGAGGGACCAGTGTCCTGTAGACAGCGCTAGGACAATTTTATACCCAGTGGATACAAGGCCACCAATACACCTAATGATTCTATTTGGATTACAGGTAGGTGTACATTTATGCTGTGAATCTTTGATTTATCTTCAATTTGTAATATTTTTTTCTGTTGAAATTTAACAACGAACGCTCTCAAACCTATTGAATGTTTTGAAAACAAATTTCTCTGAATACAAGAAAAAAATTGATAGGTGTCCTCTTTAAAAGCCTACGTAAATTTACTATCATGAAACTGTGTCTTTAACGTTCATTTTTTGTACAGTCATTAAGCTAAAAAAGACGTTTATGTAACGTTTATAACAGAGGCTTTACACTATTTGTGATTCAAAGCATAAAATTCCTAAACTTAATTATCAAAATAATACATATCGTCAAGATAAATGTATTATTTAACATAAATTATTTCTGACAAAAGGAAACATCTCGATCAATTTATATGGACCAGCGACTCTAAATACACATGTTTAGATAAACTAAAGTCAACAAAAGTTCACAAAAATACTCGCCAAGCTAAATTGAAGTAAAAAGTACACTCCAGGTAAAATAAACAATAAACCCCACTGAGATGGGACATCTAGAACATTGTATTGTCTTCCATAAAAGAAATATTGACAGATATATAATTAATGTAGTTTTATGAAGAGACTTTCTTTTTATTTTACAACCGACGACTGACTTCTACAATTTATACATAGTCAACTCCAATTACTGTAAAAGTCACTGTCGAATGTAAAAGTAAGTCTCTTCATAAAACTCCAATAATAAGTATGGAACATGGATAAAGTAGTGATAACATGTTCGGATGTGTATGGAATAAAAATAAAAAGGAGATGCATGACGAACAGTGAGCGATCTCAGAAAAATCTCCAATTAATACAGATGTGAAAGTATAAAACATGGATCCTCGGGAATCTAGAGGTGGAATTGGGAGCTTATGCGGAGTTAGCATCCCGTGTTGATCCGTCATACTTCCAGGAGACCCACGTATTGAATTGATCTGGTAGAGGGAATCTAGAATAGAAGCAAAGGTCTAACGATTGGAATGAAACACATCAGTCAAAATACCATTCACTGCTATAGTTTAACTTATCTTTCAGTACTCTTTGTCGATTTAATCGTACTTACACTCGAACAAGTTTGGTGAACTAATCATAGGAATATTACTACTAAAATAAGGAACGTTAACGATAGAAAGGCTGAAGTCATATTGCCCATAATAGTTTTTTGTTTGTTCGTCTTTATAACAAGATGGGTTTCTGTTAGAATTTTCCGTTTTGGCTTTAAAAACTGAAGAACATGCGTGTTTTTAATCCTCATTTGAAATAAATGAAAAAAGGTTAATTGTCATTTTTGCGAAAACATCAGAGATGGAATCAGGTGCATGCCCGGAGTGAGCATCCTTTGAATTTCACTTGTGCATTTCTACTTTTTCTCGCAGCAAGCCTTCATGACAATAGGGGGCTCGTTGTCCCTCCCCTTCATCCTGACCACTATCTTCTGTCCTGAGAACGAGAGCGAGGCTCGAGCCCAGCTCCTCAGCATCACGATGTTTATGTGTGGAATCGCCACCATTCTACAGTGTTGTATTGGAGTCAGGTAACCAGAGTTACTTAGTATTTCTATTTAAAACGAATAAATGTAAAAATATTAATTAATTAACAAACTAACGAGGCCCGATCTACTTGATCTGCGCAAACGTTTTTTAAAACGCAGCGTCAACTCAGGCACGTCACAGTAACTTTGACTGCCGTCACAATTGAATAACGTCTAAATTAAAATGACGTCAAATTGAGCTTAAATGTTTCGATGATATTGCATACCTGTAAGCTCTATAGACTGTGCTTGTTGAAAGCTGGCTCATTCTGGCATTTCTATTATTTACATGTTTTTAGAAAATGTTTTTTAAATTATTAAGCAACTTTGGAACATAATTTATTTTAAGGTATCAATTTCTTGGTACAGATTTATTAATTTTATCTTGTTTTATTTCAATTTTTGAATTAGAAAAAACCCCACCACAACCAAAGGTAAAAGATTTTAGTCTTTTTCCTCGAACATGTTGAAGTGTTTACACTCACTATTTTTTATTGAGTATGGAGAGAAAATTATTTCATAATGTAAGAATCATTTAAGTTATAAAAACCAATACAGTATTACAATCGTTTGTTGATGTAATGTTATGTAAACCCATTGCGACTTATGAAATATCTAGTTGCATAGTCCTATTTTTGCGTTTTTATATGCTCCCTTTTCACTGCAATAAAGGCTACATCCGATTTTCTTTTCATATTTTAAAAGAGGGATACAAATTGCATGATATATGTGAAAAACAAAACATTTCGTCCTTTATTTTTTTTATTTGTCAATTCCTTTGTTTATTGCGGAGATTTAGTATGTAATTATGAATAAAAACACGAAAAATGGTCCATATCTTGAAAGTGCCCTCATTTGACTACAATTAAGGCAAGGTAACAAAATTTTATGCTAATTTTTCTTAGCATAATACATGCAAATGTATTTCCAAGAATTAAAAAATTTCATCATTCTGTTTTCGTAATTTCCAATTAGATTGGGCCTCGTTAATTAATTTTTGTTGCTTTAGAGGTGTGATGACAGTGAAATTTATTTATAACTGTAAAAATAGTCTTTTGCATTCATGCAAGTCCTTCATAAGATTTTCGTCTTTCTGTAGATTACCAATTATTCAAGGCGGATCCAGCACGTTTGTCGCCCCGATAGTGGTGATGATGTCACTGGAGCAGTTTAAATGTTCAGAAAACGGTATCCACTTATATTTTTAGCTGAAATTTTACTTAAAGTACATGTATATAAAACTTCCTTTAACATTATAAAATCTTTCGACGATTGTATATCTGAATCTGCCCATTGACTATTTTCATCATGTTGACATTTTGTTCGCAAGTTTATGTTCTATATATAAATCAATATTTTTTTTAAAACAACATTACATGTATTTATAATTGACATATTTGAATATATAAATGAATGAACAATCATTCGTGATTTGTGTAAGTTTAATTCTATAATATGTAACTCAGAGTAAAACACGTCGATATTATTTTTAGATGACACTCTGTCTGGAAGCAACACAACAAACATAAACTGGGAAGTCCGGATAAGAGAGGTACGAGAAATATTGTCCGTTAAAAGCTCATCAACAGGATTTTATTACCCTCGCGTATCTTTTGTAGAAGAAAACAACATTTTGGTCGGTGAAGTTGTAAAATTAACAGGAATTTTAATACTCTATAACTTTCACATTGGCCATATACCTCATGAAAGATCAAAGGTAGGCTTGATGACCACAGTTCGAAAGGTCACCGTATCATCTAGTCCGAAGCTCCACTACATTAGCACAGGTTTCTTTATTACAAAATAAATATGTTTATAAAGAAAGAAAAATAAACAAAGAAAAATAAACGCAGTGAAATTGATTTGAATGTGAATTCCCGAATAAATTGTGTTTTTATATTTCATGGTAAACATGTTTCAGTACAGTTTGTTAAGAATATACTTATTTCCCTATATAACAAGGAACATGTATGGGTTTATTTCAGAAAATAAAATTGACATGTCAAATAAAAAAAAGTTATCTCCTAAAAATGTTGATTGATTGTATACTGTTTAATGTCTCTCTCGAGAATATTTCACTGATATGGAGCACAGGTGCTTCAGGACAGGAACCCCCCCCCCCCCCCCTCTTTTCGATATACCCCTGGGCTTTTTCGATTTTTTTTCTCAGAAAAAATCTTTCATTGCCATATTTGTGATAAGATCTATACCAGCAAATCGAAAAAAATTACCTAAAACAAACGTTCTATTAAATCTACCCTACATTCTCTATTTGATAAATCAACAAGGTTGCCAACTCCGTAAAAAGCTTATTGAACGGAAGTAATGAGGAGAGGACTAATTCCCGATGTTCCCCTTATACCCAAATGTGCGTGTAAAATATCAACAATAGATATATTCTTGTTTTTTTGTACGAATTCTTCATAAAAATTTTATTTTCAAACGTTTTGTAGATTTACACAAATATTTAGGGAAAAGAATATATCTTAATAAATTGCATTTTTAAAAGGGCATAACTCTCACATGCAAATCAGGTATTTGAAAAATAATTAGAGACATTTCATTTGCAGCAGCGGTTTAGAACTCTATTCTCCAAATACATTTGAAAGACATTTTTTAAAGTGTATTTCAACCAAATTTCTTCAAAAGTTTACTTCAAAACAGTGTCTCAGACTTTCTGTAGAACTGTGTATTTTGGTAAAAAGTCGTCTCCTCGTCACTTCCGTTCACTAAGCAAAAACGCTGACTGTAGCCTGACATCCTTTCGAAAACTTGGTCACAAGGTTAGCTTTTTTAAAAAAAGCTGAGCGTCAGCCACTGGAATACAGAAAGTTTCTTTCTTGTTTTGTAAAGGTTTATGATTTGATCTATCCATCATGTTGTGTTCCTTAAATGTAATAAATGCCATTGTAAGAAAAGTTAAATTCTTCTAATCGTTTTCTTATTTGTAACATAATGCTGTACATAATAAAGCATTAAATAAATTTTAGTTAGTCTTCATCATGATTATTACAATGATCTCCAATAAATTCTCTTCGGCGCAGACATCAGAGAAAGTTCATCTCATACCGGTAAATGAACAAAAGCCACCATGCATGGCAACTAAGATCATGTTAAATTCTATTAAAATGATAAAGATTATGATGAATAAAAGGAAGGTAGACTTTGTGTTAGATTGTTTTTAAATATTATTGAATAACAGTTTTTTAGTTGTGCATTTCGAGGCAATGCATGATGTGGAGGGGGGGGGGCATACTGCATGTATATTTAATTAATACAATTTCTAAGTTTGAGCATCCATTTTAGTGTTATTATGAAAGAAAAGAATTGCTTCCAAAAAAGTAATGAACGACACGGAAAACAATTTAAGATGGATTTTCAAAATATGTTTATACATGCAGTATACGTATACATAAAATATCTTTCGATGATGTCTACCATCATAGCAAAACTATAGATTAAAATACTGGAATCCATCCTCCCCCTCTCTCTCTCTCCGTTCCTGGGGGCGGGGGGGTTGACCCTGTCTATAAATCAGCACAGTTCCCTCAGCTATTGCATTTCCACTGTGGTCAATTTCTCACATGTGGGCGCGGTTCACGTGCACAAGCGGCACTTACTCGTCTATCATCATGTAAATTATAAGAATTTACTGTCTTACAGTGGTTCTCTGATGTTTTCCTAACTTCCATCATTAGAGTGAAAAGAAATAGATCGTTCAACTTCTTTTTTTTCACTATTTTGGGACCTTTGTGGCAAGTGGATTGTTGTGTGAAATCCGACCCGAACATGTCTTATGCAAGGTATTGAATACATGTATTGATCGAGGGAGTCTTGCATCAGGCATCCAAAGGAATATATAATTTAAATCTTCGGCTTGCAATGGCGATTGAGGGAATAAATGTACTCAGAGTCAGATCATCTATTAGAAGCAAAGAGATATTTTCATAGTATCATTTAAAAACTGACAAATATCCCGGCCGCCACCTAGAAGCTGAACAGTCTATGTCATTAATTTTCGTCGAGAACGACGAAGAACAATGCAGTCTATAAATAGATCGAGCTCGTGAGTGTGTGTGAAGAAGCACGCCCTCTGGTTGGAGAAAATTGTGCAAACATTTTTCCCAGAATTCCGATTACCGCACGCGCACTTGCAGTTTCATCATAACGTAACTAGTCAGCCCGGGGGCTGACTAATAACGACTGTTAAAGTGCCTTAAAGGTACTTGGACACAAATTTTGAAGTTAATATTTTCTGTATATTTCTGTATAATATCACGAATTATATATTTTAATAGCATTTCACACAAAAATTAATTAAAAATCTTATTTCATTTAAAAGTTATTAAAACTTTAAATTTTTTGGTGGGTTTGATTGACAAATCCTTGCACTTTCACAAATCTTAACTTTATTCTTAATCCTAAGGAAAAGTGGCAATCCTGATGTGTATTAATGAGAAATATTAAAACTTACATCAAGAAGAATAATTTTATTCAGAGTTGAAATGTTAGAAAACAGAACTACTTTACAAGTATCGCCATTCCGTTGTGTACAGAGTTTTGCGAATCGATCACACTCGTGTTATGTACACAGGTTTTTGTAAACATGTTATTGTTGGATATTTACGATTCATCGGGTGCGTTAAATCGCCAAAGTCTGCTCACCACAACTGCACGGACTGACGATATAATGTGTGTATGTTTTGCTTTAGAACATTTCTACTCTGAATTTTCTGGATTATGGTGTCAATATTTTTCATTAATACACATCAGGATTGCCACTTTTCCTAAAGATTAGGAATAAAGTTTAGATTTGTGAAAATGCAAGGATCTGTCAATCAAACCCGCCAAAAAATTTAAAGTTTTAATAACTTTTAAATGAAATAAAATTTTGAATTAAGTTTTGTGTGAAATGCTATTAAAGTATATAAGTCGTAATATTATAGAGAAAATATTAATTTCAAATCTGTGTCCAAGTACCTTTAACCTTCATGAGAGTTGGTGGTTAATGAAAAGAATATTCAATCTACAATATGAGTTGTTGATTTTAGGGATTTGTTTAGATTTATGAGACGATTCAACCGAAATTCTCGGCAGCGCCTCTCGGTTTGCAGACGAAGTTGGCAACCTTGTTAATTAATATATAGGGAGGGTCGATATTTTTATAAAATGTAAGTTTAAGCAAATTTTCTGAATTGATAGGATAGATTATATATCACAAATGTGTCATCCATATATAATTTATGTGTAAAAAGTCTAACAGGGCCGGGGGTCTATATTGGGGGGGGGGGGGGGTCCTGTCCTCAAGCACCTGTGATATGGAGACGTCACCATTGCCGTTTAAGGGCTGCAAGTTTAGGTCTATGCTCGGCACTTATGGCCTTTGAGCAGAGAGGGATCTTTATCGTGCCACACCTGCTGCGACATATGGTCTCGGTTTATACGGCCTCATCCGAAGGACCGCCCCATTTAGTCGTTAAAAAATGATGGAAATAGTCTTGTAACTTGACCTGCTGGTGCATAAGACCTCTAACAACAATCGCTATATAATTTTAATTATTATTTTTCTGTATTGTTCCAACTATCTGATTGGCTCAAACTGGTTCACAAGATCAAGTATAAAAAGTGTTACAGACTCGATGTTTCTATTCTAAAAATTTATAAACCTGATGTTTCTAAATTTGGAAACGTTCCTTTGTGAAGCAACAATAGTGCTGACGTCACAATAGTCTTTATAGACTGGATGTTTCTAAAAACAGATACTGTGTTGTGAGATGTGTATTGTTTTATTATGTATATAATTAGTAACATTAAGTTTCTTGAACATTCCAGAGTGGTCAACATGTTTGGTCATTTTATCTAGAACATTCTTAAGTTTTGTGTATGTCCAGATTGTTCCAGTAATATCATGTTTTAACATTTTCTAGAATATTCTAGATTTATAATACTGTATAAATACCCTGTCAATTCAATGCATAGATATACAATAATTGTGAATACTTTGTCGTATAAGCACTATTGAGATATAACTGGGATATTTTTCATTGGGACATTGTGTACAGCAACGGACACTCTGATGTATGTATTCTTAGATTCTTGCTAAGTTTGTACTTTATGTTTCATATACTTATTATATATTACTGTAAATAAATTATTGTTAAGTTTAAATTGTGTTATTGATCTTTGCTGGCATTTCGGGTAATTCTGACCCATAACAGAATTGGGGGCTCGTCCGGGATCAAGAATTTTTGCACTTTTGCAGTTTATTGTCATAATTTTGCTCATTAATTTTTTGTTAAATTAAATTATAAGCCAGCAGAAATCAACATGGTGTTTTCGGTCACAGACTTTCTTAGTTCACCAAGTGTTCAGGTTTTTGATACGTTAAAAAAGGATGACTTGATCGCATTAGGTTTGCATTTTGGGTTAGATGTTAAATCCTCTCAGAGAAAGCAAGACATTAGAATTAAGGTTGCAAACAAACTAGTAGAAGAAAACATCTTTGAAAAATACGATCTTCCAGAATATACAGTTAAATCAGAGTTAGGCTCT